TCTTAACTGTTCCTAGTTTTGTTCAACAAATCAAAGTGCCTTCTTGAAGGATGATACATCTCAGTTTCATATACCGTTTCAAATTGGCAGCAAAGGCTTTAAAGCGAGGACAAGAATGTTTGATCGTGTCAGAAAATTCAGCCGGAGAGAGAGAGAAAACGTCCTGTAGGGTTTTGCCCAACGGAAAGTTCATCATTAATTTCCTTGGCTTTAAGTAGACTTAGCTACTTCAAATTATTCCTCTTTACTCCTTGCATTTCAGCCTGTCACCCTCTGGATAGTTACCTATGACACGAGGCACTAAAGGCTTGCCCACAGTAATAAATGTGCTGGAAAACAGTTGTCAGACTCTCTTCTGCCAGAATCGTGATTGATAACTGTTTTCCAGCACAGTTGTTGCTACAGTAGCACTGCTGCAAGACGCATTTGCTGACCAACATACATACAACAGTAACTTTTATTTTATTTTTAAGTAACCAAGCTGCAGACTACTCATCCGCTAATTCATTTTCAACTCCAAGGGATGTCCAGCACCAGGGTTTGGATCCACCTAGGTGTCGTGATATGAGTTTGTTTAAAAAACACAGTGGCATGCACTGAAGCTCCAGCCACGGTACGTAGAGGCCTCGGCCAAGAATCACACCCTCCTTCCACTCCCCGGCAAATATTTAAGCTCATAACAATGGCAGGGTTAAAGAGAAAAAGACCAACAGAGAGAGAGAACTGAACAGAACGCAAAAATAAACTAACCCAACTCAATCCCACTGGTTTCAATGAGTGGGCCAATCTGTAAAGGATGGGGGGTTATTTATGTGAGATTGTCTCTAACAGGTATCACGCAGGAATCTGCGGCAAATGATGCGAACGGCGGTCAGTCAGGCATGATTTCATGTGTGTACAAATCTGTTCAAATTAGAGTGCAGCCAGAAACATCGCTAGCTATTTTCAGGACTCACGTGCACTGTCATAATGACACACTTCAGTGCCTCCCAGCACCACTCTTAGATTTGGCCTGGTCTCTCCAGCTTCAGCCTGATTTTCTAACCAAATTATTTCTGCTCTCTGAATTCATTTCCTCCCTTGTTTCCCTCGACTGCCCAGCTGACCCCCCCAACTTAAAAGAATAAAAAGGGAAAAAATGACTGACCAAGGCCAGCCAGCACCTACATTTTGTTGTTATAAAAATAAATAAAAGAAGATGGGGGTTCCCCTTCGCGGCTGTTTAAACCACTCCTAGTTTTGGCTGCAAGCGCTGATGTGTTTGCAGTTCCCAGCCAAAGGCAGCAGCCATCAGTGCAAAAGTGGTACAAGAAGTAAAATAAGCACAGGGTGTAACCATAGAGCAAGAAGTCACTTTGCTCCTCCTTTCGAGTAATTGTGCTTGTGTTTCCTTCGCTCTTGAAGAGCAGTGCGTTACTGAGTCCCTTATTTTCAGAAAGAGCGTCTATGGATCTGCATCTTGCATGTTCTGCGAAGTGCAGCTGGGTCAGAAGCCCATACATTCATGCCGGGTGACCTACTTTCAGCCAGAAGTAATCAAGGAGCCATTAAAGAGACCGTGGGAAAAGTTGCTTGGAGTCCCCTACACGGTGCCGTACGGTCCCTCATGGCGTTTAGCTCCAACTGCTCTTGTAATGGGAAACTACTGGAGCAGCCCCGTTTGTCACACGCGCCTGCTCTCAGCCAAGAGAAATGGTAGGACAAGCCAAAGCACGTCTGCCCTAGCACCCAGGCGACACCTTGCCCTGTGATTACGTGCAAGGACTTCCAAGGATGTCCTTGTCCACGTGTTTCAGGAGAGCATCTCACCACACCTTAAAGCTTTTTTTTAAACCTGAGATTACAAAGAGATGGAACGAAACTTTCTCCTTATAGCCTGCCTGTCTCATAGCCCCATAAATCTGTCCTGTCCATTTATCACCTTCACTGCAGTAATGCCTGTATTGAACGTTTATTTGCTATGCCTCCAGGTCCACACTTCAAAATATCCTTGGACGTTCTTGGAAGCCAAAGGAATACAGGACCAGACATTTAACGTGCAACAGCTTCCATAAATTCAGATCTAAATGCTATATTTGAATCAAATTAAGGTTGGAGTCCACTTATGCTGGAGTAAGTCTGTAGCAACAGATGCTTTTTACAGCTTTCTACCTAATTCAGAATCCAGGGCATAATTACATTTTTTGAGAGTGACTCCAGCTACTATTAAAATACAGCTTTGCCATGCACTCCAGTAGGAGCCGGTCAGAACACAAGGAAGAGACGGTACAATTTGCATCCTACTGTGAATAGTTGTTCAGGAGAAATACCCTTTCACTGTTTAAAAACTGGACAAAAATGCATTTCATACAAAATTTTTCCTACCCTTAAACATAACCTGCAACGTGACATTATTTTTTTCCTTCTCACAATATATTTAATGAGGGCAAAAGAAAAAAAAAAAACTGTGTGCACACACCCCTTTCTCCAGTGCTCCTTGTTATTCTTCCAGAACAATTGTTCAAAGCTGCTGAGATCACTGTATGTTACCTCCTTTTTGAAGGATCAGATACATGGCATCAAAAAGCATGCAGGAAAAGTTCTAGGGCATGAAACCAATTTTTGCACACTTTTATCTGGGTCAGCTTTTCTATTGATTCTGCAAATACCATATCATTTTTTTTAAGTTAAGGTTTTTTTAGTTCAAAAAGAAGAAAAAGAGAACATCAGAACTTAAGTCAAACATCCACCTAAGCCAAGGATCAGTTTTGCTGAGTGACTCCAAATCAAAACGTAGACTTTTTTTTTTAATACAGTCTAACTCACAGTGAAAAAGCATCGAGATTGATTTCTAAATTCAGTAAATGCCCTCTTCTCATGTTTCATCTGTTTTTATTAAATATCGTTTAACAATTTTGTTGTGAGGTATACAACGCTTTGACAGCTGACAGTGCCTAGGAAGGCTAACGTAAAGACAGACACATTAAAAACTCTCACACACACATTTTACCATCGATTCATCTTTCCTTCTCTCCGCCCCCTGCCATGTTTTGCTCTGTGGTTATGAACTATTTGGTAGAGCCTCCAGCTTTGCTTTATGTTATTTCATCAACCCTCATCTATGCCTTGAGGTACTCTTAAACAGAAATAATAAATACGAACTGGCCTCAGGTGACAAAGGACTAGGTCCTTTCCTAGGATGAGGTGACCTGTTGCAGATATCTGGAGGTGTCGCATCAACTTCATCTGCACACCCGGAGGGGAAATGAAGAAGCGGCACTTCTAGGAAGATGCCTATAAGCAGGCGACGATTTGTAGTAGGGGCGACTCAGAAAATTCACTTGCAACTCCAGATGACAGCAGAAAAAAAATTATAAAGTGGTAAGGAAGCCTAATTAACTCCTGGTGAAAACAAAGAGCTAATGAACTGGCTCTCAAGTGCGTTTCCAGGATGCAGTCCTTTCCATTCTGAGATGCTTTTGCATGTTTTGTCAGTGGTGCAATGCTGGCAACAACTAAACGTTGCCCAAGAGACTGACCAGCAAGTCTGCTTCTGCGGAAAGCTGGGCTCGCGCTTTGGCAAGGCCCCGTTTCGTGGAGAAACCGGCACACCACGAGCAGCCCCACTTGCACACACGCGCCGGCGCCAGAGCTCGCGAGGAACCTCCTAACGCTGAGCGTTTCTTTCCCGGCTCAGGGATGCCCGTCTGGCACGCTCGAGGTCTCGGGGATCATCAGGACGGACCTCTGAGCTGTGTCAGAGTTACATTTTCATATCCCGCTTTCCCAGTCTGGAGAGCTGAGACTTGAAAGATGAGTAATAGTTTCCACCAAACGGGTTGTGTAATGCAAACAAAAATCCCAACCTCACTGGACCTAATAGTTTAAGGATTTTTGATACATAAATGATTAAACCTCAACATTTTCTCTCTGCGCTTTTGCCAAATTAAGTCTTGTCTTCGCTACAGAAGCCTGTGCGGAAGTTTCATGAAAACGATGAACAGAAAGACGCCGTCGGGCCGCTGAGCCGGCTTCCCACCACCGATGCTGGCCTGGCAGCCGGACACAGGGGCCAGCCCCGCGCGGGGCTCAGGATCCGGCCTC